TTTTGGAAGGCCAAACAAAGTAGTTTCGCTTTCACAACGAAACAGCATCACACACCGCGGCCTACAGTGAGCAGAGACCAGGGGCTAGAGTGAGCAGAGGCCGGGGGCTAGTGTGAGGAACGGCGGGAGGGGTAGAGTGAGCAGAGGCGGCGGGCTTGAGAACGGCGCGGCCGGCGATTTTGACGAAGGAGCGTCCGGAAGGACATATGACGACCCCGGGCTGGACTCCGCTTCCTCCACGGTGAAAACCGATTCGGCGATCCACAGCGCAAAGCTGTAGTATTTCCTCAGCAACCAGCACGGATCAGCTCCAGGCATGACGAAGCAGATATCGTCCTCTTTTGGAAGACCAAACAAAGTCGTTTCGCTTTCACAACGAAGCACACAGCGTCTTTACGACATTGCGGCGGCAGCAACAAAACTACAGCGAGAATAAAAGTTACGCCTTCTTTCTTTGCGTGAACATTTGGGCGGCGTTATGCAAATCTTCCCACAGAGCGACGTAGACATGTGGGGGCGTGTTAGAACGAGCCAATTTAGGTAGGCGTGGCTGACTCTTAACTTTTATAAAGAATATCTCTTTGGATTTGAGTCTTGAGTCTTTGCAACTTTACAGATCTTCTTTATGCACCAAGAGCTTGTAACACTCTAAAGAGAAAGGAAAAATTTTAATCGCATCATATGACCCCTTTAATCCATTTGCTAAAGTCATTATCTTTCGCTGAATTTAGTTTTCGGGGGGTTTTGTGTTAATCGAGTTAAAAATGCCACTGGACAGCTCACTGAAAAGTAATTTGAACAAACCAATGAACTTTCAACTGAATTTGCATGGAGAAAAATGTCAATATGTACTTCAAATGGTACATCAACTGATTTATGGTTGACTGGTTTAACAGCTGATTAATCTGTAAAAACAGTTCCCCGCCATCTCATCAGGATGTGTAGAAGAGCTTTTCCCATCACCTTGCCAACATACACCTTGAAAGAGCAAATGGTTGCAACCCGATCCGTCTCAGCCCGGCAAACTCTTGGGTCTGCTTATTCAAAGAGAGTTAAAGGCTTGTCTGCAATTTCTGGTTATCCTGGAAATGGACTTTCTGCTAATCTAACAGGGCCCTCATTTATACTGACACCGTAATATCCTGAAAGCATCGACGGTAATTCAAGAGCAAATAACTTCACGTTCATTATCGCTTGTCTTGTTGAAAGCGCAATAAAGTCTGAGAGACAGTGAAAATAAAATAATTAAATTTTTTCTGTTTCTTATGTATTATTCAGCAGGTAAACAGAAGGAAGAACAAGAGAGAGCGAGCACTAG